CCACATTCTCACATGAAAGTTAAGGAAGTTGAACTTGTCTATCAGAGAATTTGATTATTAAATGTTTCGAATATATAACATACCTCAAACCCAGCAAATAAGACAATAAAAATAGCAGATAACAATTCAGACTTGGACAACTTTTCCTCCTCTTTTGTGGCAGCAGCAGATGATTTTAACAGCAAGGTCAATAAATCCTCATCATCCTTTTCTAGATAGGTATGATCATCGAATTCTTGTTGTTTCTTTTCAATCATAGAGTAGGTTGCTTGTTTGAATTTTTCCTTAGCATCTTTGTATCTTTTAAAGAAACCAAATGGGATAATCTCAAATAAATATTTTGGTAGTACGAAATTATAGATCAAACCATTGAGTAAGTTATTGATCCAATCATGAATTCCATCTCTATGGGCAGCATCCTTATCAAAAATTCCAACATCATAATCAAAAGCAACTCTATTAATTACATCTAAAGTTATTGATTTGAGTTCATTACTAATGTTTACCTTTCTAATTGTACCATCTGATTCTGAGCCATAAATTGATTTCCAAAATTTGATCATCTTTTTGCATTCTTCAAGAGTAACTCTAAAGACGTTCTTCAAGTGAGAAGAACTGCTGAATATTGGATTTGCTAGAGTTCTGTGCTTTCTCCAGATTGGATCATTGGAATCGGCTGAGAAAATATTCGGACCAAATATTCCAACTGGTTCGAACAAGTTTCCCTTTGAGACAGTCTTGTACTTTTTTACAAGGATTTCTCTAATCAAATTCTCATCATTTGAAATGTGAATTTGGCTGAAAGTTCCAAGTTGAATTTTAACAACTTTAGCATTTGGATTATTCTTGAATGAATTTAGGGCACAATCATAAAGGTGATGAACATAAATCTTCCTATGAATCATACTATCAATCAGAGGAGGAAAAAAACTGACATATCCTGGTAAATGTTTAAATTTAAAGTAAATTGTAAAGAATGTAATTGTGTAGCGGATCAACAAATACGAAACAAGACAAACTATCAATAAAAATACATTGAAAAAAGACAGTGTAAACAATTGGTTGAATGAACCAATCAACCCGATCTCTTCTGTCATTTTGATTCTGTGGTTGTTGTATTTTTTTTGAATAGTTCAAGGAGATGAGGATCAATTATTATTGGAAACCAAACTAATACATAAAACAAATTTAATTTATTTATTTGTTAGTAATTTGTAAACCACACAAAACATAACATCCTTCAATGAGGTTCATATCTTCATCATACATTTGAACACTTCTTAAAGATCCCTCTCTGAGAGCAGTAACTGGAATAATGTTTTCACAAACGAATTTGTCAGCTGAGACCTTATTCTTATCCCAAATTGAGATTTGGAGGTTGGCAAGATCAGGTGCAGCAACATCAAACTCAAAACTTGTGTTATATGTTGGATTCCAACCATTATCCCAAACAGTAGCTGTACTGAAAG